AGGAACAACCACCGGAAGAGTTTGACCCTGAAAGCAAATTTATGGTGCTAGCGGTTCTGGAATCAGCGGCACTTGACGTGCAGCAGCTTGAAGAGATGTCCAGCACAGACGCGACTTTGGAGGCCGTAAAGCAGTGCTTACGCACCGGAAATTGCAAAGTCGTTTGCTCCTTTCAAGAACGAATTGGGGTTCGTCGGAGACCTGGTAGTCAGGGGAAACAAGCTGGTTGTTCCGGAATGCTTGCGATCACGAATGCTAGACCTGGCTCATGAGGGTCACCCGGGCGAATCGGAGATGAAACGACGATAGCGTGACCGAGTTTGATGGCCCGGGATGGACCGTGATGCAGAGAAAAAGGTTAAATCATGTGAAGGGTGTAGATTGGTGAGTATGCCCAATAGACCGGAGCCGATGTGTCGTCGCGTGATGCCTTCCAAGCCGTGGATTGAGGTGGCTTTAGACTTTCTCGGACCTATGCCGTGTGGAACGTACTTACTTGTAATTATCGACTACTTTAGTCGTTACAAGGAGGTGGAGACGATGACCAAAATAACGGCGAAAGAAACCGTAGAAAGACTTGACAGAATATTTAGCCGACTCGGTTACCCACAAACAATCACCTTAGATAATTTAAATGTTGGAATTGTGTTGAAAACCACAAATTCAATTTTTGGAAAAGTAAGACGTTCCTACAATCTCGTTCTAAGCGACAGGTAGGAAACGCTTCACATTCCCGATCAGGTACAAATTCCTCTGCTGTTAACAACGGTCAGCGAGGAACAAATTTTACATAATCACCCATGCTTCAAATTCTTCATCTATATATGCTGCCCTCGCTGCTAACAATGTTCAGCGAATACATGGAGCTACCTATGCAGCTATTGCAGCTGGTAGAAATCAAAATGGAAAATGGAAATTTTGATAATTTTGACTTAGGAAGCATTACATTAATTGACATGATCATTGATATTCTGAAAACTAACTAATCAATCGTCGAAAAACAGCCATTCTACGGCGGTGGAGATAAACATATCAATTGCATACTTGTGAACCCCGAATGGGCCGCGAGTATTTGGATACTCCTTGTACTAACTCTAGTGTAAAGAAACATTGTGAAAAGTAAAATGAATTTCGGTTCCGAAAACCAATGAATTTACAAAACAAACATATCTGCAAACCTGGCATCTCTGGCGAGCGCAGTCGGACATCAGGAAGGAACTCGTGCTGATATGAGTGACAACAACGACGGGGCGGCGCGGGCGGCAGCGGCCTGGGCTAAAGTGGCTGGAGTTTTTCGTTGACATGAATCGGAGGTTGAAAACGCAATTTTGGCTTGTGTGTTCGCGAAACATCGAGTGAGGAATTTCACCACCACGAGTGGAGGATTGTAATTTTCGCATCAAAAGTAAGGATGGACTGTTGTTAAGAAGACGAAGAAGAAGAAGCTGCTGCCAACGAGCTTGCTAGCTGCCTATAGGCTCTGGACAGGTTGGGCTGTTTGAATACATGCCGTATCATTATGATGGATACATGGCGGAAACAAGTTGCGGGAAGTTTTAATTTGCGAAAGTGATGCCCAGAAATGTGGGCAGTTTATGTAGGCATAAGGGACAGATGTGAGAGTGGAAAGGTGAAACAGTAATTTATGCTTATGATTCTCGTTTGCAGTTGATGCTATCATTTTACCAATGACGTAAATGTTGCTTTTGTTTATCAAACTGGTCCGAACTAAACCATGATCGGGGTACTGAGAATTCTTCCATGAACTTTTAGTTAAATCACCAAATTGAGTGGTTTTTGTTTATTGTTTTAAAATGGAGCTGTACCATCGGGTTAACCTAATTTTTTATATCTTAAAGTGGTTTGTTTACATGGACAGCTGAGAATGATAAATAGAAATGTATCAGGAGTAGATTAAAGCCCTCTAGTTAAAGTATGGACGACTGTCACCACAAAACTGAAAAAAGCTGTTCCAATCGAGCAAAGCGGTGCATTTTGACGGTTCGATTGGAACAACTTTTGACAGACGTCCATACTTTTACTGTAGGACTTTAGAGTTGATATATATATATCAATCATACTTCTTGGAGTATTTCTTGAAATGGACCCACTCTCAATAGAACAGTTGAACTGATTTCAGTTTCTGCGATCCCGAACCCGCGTTCGCTATGAAATGTAATGATGGATGACAGCCGAAATACCAAATCTTGGTAAACATCCAATTAGTCAACACACGGACCCCCTATCCTCAACGTCCATTTTCCGGTTCCAGTCTGCTTCGATTTATTATTTTTTGTCAACATTATTTTTCATAAGGCAAATCAATGAAATTCACACTCATTTCTTATGGCTAAAATTAATAAATGTTACTCGATTTTTTACGTTCTTTTGCCTGCGTGTGTTGCCAGTGTTGCCGAATTCCGGATAAAACATGAATTTTTCGAAAATTCAGCTAAAATTGGTACTGACTCTCATTTGAAGTTGTTTATTTGCTGAATTTTCAGTAAACTAGTTAGATGCCGTGTTAGTTCGGTAAAATTGTTAGCAGAAACTCAGCAAACAAATGAAATGTTGGCTGAGATCTCAGTAAACAGTTTTTGCCGAGATTTGCATAGCCGAGTTTGGTAGAAAAAAGTTGGAAGGGTTGTATACTAGATACGACCGCAGGGTTGGCGTTGGATAACGTCTGTTATGTGTTGTACTTAATTGTGTATATTATATTTTAGGAATATTCCATAATAACTCTTTTGCGATATCTTTCCCCAAAGCGCGTTCGGACAATTCAGGCGTTTTCATTAATTTCTTCTCTCGATTCCGGAAGTGCACGACGTATCTGGAACTACCACACCAAAATGTATGCAGAATATTGTCGGTACTGGATTAGTAGCGGTAACCAGCAGGACCTACGTTGATTTAAGCTTAACACCCGCAGATTGATGAACGCTCCATCACATCACTTCAACCTTTCACATTCTGGCAAGAAAGTCAATTCTAAAACACCTTTTAAATTTATATGGTGGTTCTGAGTCGATGATACTAAATTAACCCCCGAATCCGTACAGAGTACGTCCCTGCCGCTTCAGAGCGTAAACGACATCCATGGCGGTGACAGTCTTCCTCTTCGCATGTTCGGTGTAAGTAACGGCGTCACGAATAACGTTTTCCAGAAATACCTTCAGCACTCCTCTTGTTTCTTTGTAAATGAGACCGGAAATTCTCTTAACTCCACCACGACGAGCCAAACGACGGATTGCAGGTTTAGTGATGCCCTGGATGTTGTCACGCAACACTTTTCGGTGACGCTTGGCTCCTCCTTTGCCAAGTCCTTTTCCACCCTTGCCGCGTCCAGTCATTTTCTAGTATGATAATTGTAACGTCGATGAAGGTTGAAACGAAAGTGAACAAAAATGCCAAATTTTGGCTCTTTTATACCTACTCGAGGGTTAAATTCTTTTTGTTAGTTGTTGTGTTCTTGTTCTTTCATCGTTTCTGATTGGTTGAACACAGCAAACGCATGTTATAAAACAGAATGGAAGTGATTTTTAAAAATCATCCCGATCCGCAAACCTGGGAAAGACCCTTCACTACCGTCAAGCTACAGACCGATTAGCCTGCTCTCAGCGCTGAGCAAGCTGTTCGAAAAATTGATCCTCAGCCGACTAAACAAGTTTGTGGAGGAACATGACATTCTTCTTCCGGAACAGTTCGGGTTCCGCAAGGGGCATTCCACCAATCATCAGCTAGTGCGGGTGATGAATAACATCCGAAGTAACAAAGCTGTATCCAAGTCCACAGCCATGGCCTTGTTAGACGTCGAAAAGGCGTTTGACAATGTCTGGCACGACGGACTTATATACAAGCTTTGTAACTCCAACTTTCCACCATACCTTGTGAAAATCACCCGTAACTATCTCCAGCAAAGGTCGTTCAGGGTGTCGTTGAATAGTTCCCTTTCGGGACAATTTCCGATCCCAGCAGGTGTTCCGCAAGGGAGTCTGCTGGGACCACTGCTTTACAGCATCTACACGTCGGACATCCCTCCTCTAGGAGACGGTTGCGTGTTCTTTCTGTTCGCAGATGACACCGCGATAGCCGTCAAGGGTAGGATGCCTCGTGAAATTACGAACAAGCTGCAACGATGCCTTGACACCTTTACTGATTATGCCACCTCGTGGAAAATCAAAATCAACGCCTCGAAAACCCAAGCGATCATGTTCCTTCACAGACAATCACCAAAACTTAAACCGTCTCCCTCCTGTACCGTAATAATGGATGGTACAAGGGTCGAGTGGTCCACTGATGTTACTTATCTCGGGATGTTGTTCGATGAGAAGCTCCTGTTCCGCTCGCACATAGAGAAAACCCTAGTTAAGTGCTCCGCCTTGGTTAGGTGTTTGTATCCGCTCATTTGCCGCAGATCCCGCCTCTCAAGGCAAAACAAACTGGCTGTTTACAAACAGATCATAGCCCCCGCGATCTTATATGCCGCCCCGGTGTGGGAATCGTGCGCTCAGACCCACAGGAACAAAATCCAGGTTGCACAGAATAGAGTGTTGAGGATGATCCTAGATCGTCCATTCGACACAAGAATAGCAGACCTCCATCAAGAGGCAGAAATTCCCAAAGTAGATTCCAAAATTGATGATATGACAACTAAATTTATTCAAAAATGCAATCTTTCTGAACATGCTTTAATAAGCAATTTGTACATAGTAGGTTAAGTGTATATAGTAGAGTAGGTTAGTCTTAAGCTGTAAATAGTAGTATTAAGTAGATTCTCTTCAAATTCTAAAAACAAAACAAACCAATCCCACCAAGGTGGTCGACCGTGTACTAAGTCTAGGACTAATCCTGTAAAACAAATTTTAAATTTTGCCCATACCTAAAGATGAAGAAAGCAATTAAATCACTTAGTAAAAATTTATATGGTAATCGTCCAAGTTAAACTAAAATAAAGATCATTTAAACTAAACTAAAACTTTTTATTTTTTATTCCACAGTGTGCTTTCATTGAATACACATCACAACCAACAAAATGGCTCAGCGACCGCTCGCAAGTCTACTGGAGGAAAGGCTCCTCGCAAGCAGTTGGCAACGAAGGCCGCTCGCAAGAGCGCTCCAGCCACCGGAGGAATAAAGAAGCCCCATCGCTATCGGCCAGGCACCGTCGCCTTGCGTGAGATCCGTCGCTATCAGAAATCCACCGAACTGCTGATCCGAAAGTTGCCTTTCCAACGTCTGGTCCGTGAAATTGCCCAGGACTTCAAGACCGATCTGCGCTTCCAGAGCTCAGCTGTTATGTCTCTGCAGGAAGCTAGCGAGGCCTATCTGGTCGGTCTGTTCGAGGATACCAATCTGTGTGCCATCCACGCCAAGCGCGTCACTATCATGCCGAAGGACATCCAGCTGGCTCGTCGTATTCGTGGAGAACGCGCTTAATTACCCCGTCTAAATCTTAACAAAACCGGCCCTTTTCAGGGCCACCACAATAATTCAAAAGAGTTGAAGTGACCTTTAAAATTTAAAATCGTTCGTTCCGTTCTTGTCTAGATTAAGTAACGAAGTAGAACGTGTGCGGGGGTTTGTTTTCGAGATTTTGAAAACAAACACAGCCGGGTCCGGTATATGATTTGGAAATGAATTTCACTTTGCCCAATCCACTAGAAAATAACATGGTACTTTCTAAGCAAATTTTATTATGTTTTCAAGATTCTCGTTGTTAAGAATTTTAAAATTATTTATCGAGATAAAATATGGCTCTGCGAAGATTCAACTTTAGAAAATTAATCGTTAAACTCTTTCTTGATAATGTAGTGGCCCTGAAAAGGGCTATTTTTCCAACTCGCTCGGCGTAGTTGCCCTTGCGGAGCAGACGGTGAATACGACCGACTGAGAACTGCAGCAGCTGGACATTCCATGACGGCGGCCCAGTATACCGGAGCACTGGCACCAACGCACTCGGCGTAGTTGCCCTTTCGCCCCCAGGCTCTGCTGCCGTTGCTCTGCTTCCGCTGCTCTGGTACTGCTACTCTGCTGCTCTGCTGCTGGGTCGACGATCGGATAGACAATGATGGAACGGGCGACCTTGTTGGACGCTTATATAGTAGAACAGAAAATATCAGAGGTGTCAGATACTCGCATCTGATGTCTCGGTTGGAGAAAGTATAAGAATATAAAAAAATCAAACGATTTTCACCATCTTTAGACAATGGTTTACTTTTAACCATTTTTCAATAGTTTACAGAATGAAATCAATAGTTTTGAAACATTCAGCAAATTGCTAGAAATATTTCCAATCGATTGATGCCATTATCTCGTAAATCTATCGAGAGACGGTTGAGTTATTATCGTTCAAAATCTTTTAATTTTTCGTAACGCATCCAAAATGACTGTTTTTAATTTTGTACCCCCGTATGTTGCCGAAAGACGTTATCCAGCGTCAAAACTAAGTGTGTAGGTTATGCAGCGTGACGTCACGAATGAGCTAAGTGTTCATCTAATGAACTTTTTCACTGTTTAGTGGTACCACAGAGGTAACTCTTAAGACCAGAATGTTCCGAAGAAATGTGCTAAACTTTTTGGCTCAGCTCTGGCACTCTCTTCGGTCCCAAGCTAATCGATGCATCCCTCGAATCATTCCACGAACCCCTCATTTTGTCTGCAAACTTTCATAGCAAATCAAAACAAACATAGTGTACTACTAGAATTTCCACTGAAATAGGGTACGTTAATCGATTTGCTTGCGACCAAAATAGGCTAGTCAAGTAGTGAGCAAATTTGTAATCGTTAGTTTCCACCGGTTGGTACCACTGAACCACAAACGAAGTGACAGACGGAGCGGCTCGAAAACTTTGGTGACTAACCTTCTATTGCAATTTTTCAGTGTACCACATGGCAACACCACTACTACTGGATTGTACCACATGGCAACACAACTATTGGATTGAACTAGCATTTTCACCAAATGTACTAGAATATTTTGGTTCTATCTCTTTCACTCTACTCAAAACTGAAATGCATAAAAAAATGACAAAATGATACGCACTCTTTGCACACTGTCAAAGAATCATTGTACACAAAATCAACTTTGTTCAAATCAAAACAAAAAAACTAACCCATCTGGTGGATGATGGCACAAGCTTCTAAGAAAATTCTATTACAGTGAACCACATTATTTAAATGGATTTCTTCGCCAGTAAGTCGTCTGTCACTTCGTTTGTGACTGAACTGTCGACGTTAATTTTTGTTGTTCTGATTTGTTCTCTACTTGGATGCTGATCGAGTGAAAAACTTTTGAGGATATCAAGACTTTGGCTCTGCAATTAGATGTCAAGCAAATAGAGATATGAAGCCTGTGAAGCTGGTTCCACATTTCCTTTGTGGTTCGTCTTCATAAGGGCTGTACTGCAGACGATTGCAAAAGCTGGACTGGTCGGACGGAAGCGGAAAATGAATTCCATGAGCCGTTCTTGCTGGCAATCGGATATGTGCCCTTGGAGGAGGAAAATAATTTTCCGACCGACCGGATTGAAGAAACGCAACACAGGTCCGAAGGGAAGTTGGATTCCGATTGCAAGTGAGTGTTAAGGCTGTGAATCATTTGCCGAGTTAAATTTATCTCGTGGTTAAAAGTGACATTTCGAAAGTTATTTTCTATTTTCGAAAATCCCCGTACTGTCAATCGACCGGTTTTAGAGCCACGGTTGTCAAAATTTAACTTCTTGTATGTCAGAAATAACCATGTTTGGATGGCAGGGTTAATCAACAACTTTCCATCTGTCAAATTTTAACCAAAAGTAAAAAATTCGCCAAATGGTTCAGAGCCTAAGAAAACTTGCTAATTTTTCTGTTTGTTTTAGGTTAGGTATCTGACAAACGACTACAATGCAAGGATTGATTCGAATCTGGAAAGAAGAAGAACGTTCTCTACTCGACTAGATGGATCCGGAATTTTGTCGTCTGTGTTTGAGGAAGGAGATACCTGCGATGGGTGAAAAAAGTCTACGAGGAAGGCGGTTGCTGTTGGTGCAGCCCTACTTGGTTATTTGGGTGAGATCATTCCTTTTTATTTATTTATACAGTAGCCCCTCCCTATCGTTAGGACATCAATTTAGCTTATCGTTTACCAAAACGAACCGTGCAGCAAACCCTACCCTCTTACCCAACATTCCAGTGATTCCTCGTGAAAGTGAATAGGACTCGGCAGAGGATTTCTCGGCTTCCATCAAAGCGAGTGTCACGTCAACACATTCCTAGCCCTTCCTTTCTGGACTTGTGTTCCGGCGCGGCCGGCGCTGGTATTGCTTAGTTTGAGATCACCAGTTTTTACACATTGAGGATGCTTGCTAGTCCCAAGCATCGTCTTTTGGTTCTATGTGTAATTACAGCTGATCTGGCAATAACAGAGTAGCAACTGTGGGCGGTAGATCATGCTCATGCTCAAACAGTACCACTGAACTGTCATCCGATTGAGGTTATCCCCGGCAGTGCAAAACCTCAGAGTCAATGTTATAATATGAGTCCCGGCAGAAGTACAAATCGAACTGTCATGCGGGTTATGTAAACATTATTGTTCCCACAGCCAGTGAACTACAAGTATTGTATTCATTACTGACAATATTTTAGTAATTTTAGATGAAAAACATTTCTTCGTTTTACTTGTTACATTGTGATATTTATACCGAGCACTTGTTGGATAATTTTTCAGGTTCTATAATTGTTTTTTTTTTCTCTCCAAAAGCTCCGTTATTGACATGAAATTTTTCACTGCTAAATGAAAGTCATCCGATGCTAAGGCAAAACATCTGGTTGCCGTTTACTCTGATGAAAAGTAAATCACAAACAGTGCTGCTTGTTCGCATCATTTTCTGTTGACGGGACTCTTATTATAACATCGACTATGCAAAACCTTATTGCTGATCCACAGAAGACTTTTCATTTGGTGGACTAAATAATAAGAATAAGAAGAAAAAAGAAGAAGAAGAAGGAGAAGATCAAGTACCACAGCTGTCAAACTGATGTACACTAATCAAAATCTCAAAGTAAAGTTTAAACTAAACTTTAAATAATGTTTAATGTTGAATTTTAATTTAAAATTATAAATTTATATATTTTAAATTTTAAATATTTTTTTTTCCATATGTTAATGTTTTAAATGTATTTTTTTTAATTTGAAATGTTTAAGTTTCTTATTTTAAATGTATATTTTAAAATTTGTATAAATGCATAATTTAAAATTTTACATTTGAATTTTTGTTTTAATTATTAATGTTAAAAACTTAATTTAAGCTTTTAATGTTAAATTTCCAATTAAAAATAGGTTAATTTAAAATGCTAAATGTTGAATAATAAAATGAAAAAAATTAAGTGAAAATATTCAAATGGTAAACGTTAAATAAAGGATGTGAAATTTTAAATTTTACATGTTCAATTTTAAATTTTATGTAACGAATGTTAAATTTTAAATGTTAAATGCTATATCTTAAATGCCATATGATAGATGCTGTATGATAAATGCTAAATATAAAATATAATATGTTCAATGTAAATTATAAGATGATAACTACGAAATAATGTTGACTATGATGACTATGTTTTATAGATTTTGTTAAATTTTTCATTCCACAATTTGAATTTCAAATGTTTTATTTTAAATATTAAACGCTTGTTAAATGGAAATTGGTCATACTGTGGACCCCCGTTAGTCGGGGGTGTTTTCCGTCGATTTTGTTTTCCGTACTGAGTATCAATGCTACCGACGCTAGGAAGGCAGCTCCAACACCTGAACCCTACCTATCGACCCATCAACTCATGGACCGGGCACCAATCGCTTTACTTTCCTTCTGTTGCTATCTGGGTAAATTCTACCCAGTAAACCCATTTTGATAGAAACATTAAATTGATTCCATGAATATCTTTTAAATAGAGGAAACAGTCCTATTGCTGCGGTACTTTAGAAGCGTTAGAAGCCTATTCAAGACCAACCATTGAAAATACCGCAACTCCATTTTGTAACCTTGTATGGTCATTTTCTTACGATCCGAAGACTACACTCGCAAACCTAAAACACAATCGGGTAGAGGAGAATTTTCCCTCCTACCTGTTCATTTTGTTGGTTTGCGTTGGTGGACTTCAGCTTGTGACAAAATGGCCTTACAAGGGTTGTTTACAAAATGGAATTGAGGCCTTTTCAATTGTTGGTCTTGTATTGTTGGTCTTGTATTGTTGAGTATTTAAGGTGATTGTATGTAGGGTCCACAAATGGCCGCCACAAGGGCTTTTATGCACTTCCACCTTGAATTTTCAATTGCACAATTTTCGGATATTAGAGACCCATTACACCTGAATTTGCTACTGCATGTAGCGCAGCAAACGTGCACACTTAGAAATACCTAATCTTACATGTGACGGAATCCTTCTTTGACATAAAGGATGAGACG